CAAGTAACAAGACATTAGGAGAAATTTGTACTCAATTATTAATGTGCATACTAAAAATCTAAATAGGCGTGTAGCTAACCATTGTTTTTTAAGTTCCAGTGTGCTTTTCCAGCTTTGCCCTTGGAGGCAGATTTTTCTCAGGAGGCAATCAAATACCAATATCTTCAAATGTGGATAAGCCGTTGATGCCATCGCTCAGGCCAAGGAGTCGACTCTGATTCATTGAGACTACAGCACAGGGCAGAGCGGCCCCTGTGGGTTTCTGAGACTGTAACTCTTTACTGCAGTAGAATGCCTAACCTTTCTCTTCTCCTGTTACATCAGGGGTCCTCAAACTACGGACTGCGGGCCACATGCGGCCCGCCGAGGGCATTTATCTGGCCCACCGGGTGTTTTTGCCTCGTTCTGGTTTTTTTAACTTCAAAATAAGATATGTGCAGTGTGCATAGGAATTTGTTCATCGTTTTTTAAAAAACTATAGTCCGGCCCTCCAACGGTCTGAGGGACAGTGAACTGACCCCCTGTTTAAAAAGTTTGAGGACTCCTGTGTTACATCATCCATCTCATTCATTCTCAATTTAAGGTCACACACACACACACACAGTACACACTCAAAGTTTCAACTTCTCGGAGTACATAAAACAGTTATTAGGCAACAGGATGACCACAATCAAAGCCGTCACTGAATGCACACGTGTCCTGACAGGCAAAGCATGAGAGGAAACAGGGGTGGCTGTAAGAAACAGTTCTATGAAAAAGCCAACATGGGAACGCAATGAGAGAAGAAACAGCAACAGTTGTTAGAAACAGTTCTACTTAAAAACTACTGTGGAAACGGAATTTAAAATGCTCGAGTCATACAAATGTCAGGCTGTGACTGCAAATTGCTTGGACCGTGTCTTGTATTGTAGAATACAGAAGCTCCCCCAGCTGACTCTCCTCCATGGAGTGGTATGTGGATACCCAAGGCAGCCAGCTTTTCCACAATTTAAAAACCCACTATTTTCTGTTTGTAGTATGAAAGAAACAACCAGTAAATTATTTCAACTGTTAGTAAAAAAGCATTTTTACTTTTTGAAAAATGGGGTCAGTTACAAATCTGGCTAGACCAGAGAATGTACATTGGTACAGATAGCAACTGGAAACACAGGGAATCCAGGACAGATGACTCCTTCAGGACCAGGTATGAAAGGGG